ACAAAATAGTTCCAGTCAGAGAAAGAACAAACAACGCTGGATCGAGAACAAAATAGTTCCAGTCAGAGAAAGAATAAAGAACGCTGGATCGAGAACAAAATATTTCCATTCAGAGAGAGAACAAGGAACGCTGGATCGAGAACAAAATAGTTCCAGTCAGAGAAAGCATAAAGAACGCTGGATCGAGAACAAAATAGTTTCATTCAGAGAGAAAACAAAGAACGCTGGATCGAGAATGAAAAAAAGGTCCAGTCAGAGAAAGAACAAAGAACGCTGGATAGAGAACAAAATAGTTCCACTCAGAGAGAGAAGAAGAAACCCTGGATCGAGAACAAAATAGTTCCAGTCAGAGAAAGAATAAAGAACGCTGGATTGAGAACAAAATAGTTCTATTCAGAGAGAGAACAAAGAACGCTGGATCGAGAAGAAAAAAGTTCCAGTCAGAGAGAGAACAAAGAACGCTGGATAGAGAACAAAATAGTTCCAGTCAGAGAGAGAACAAAGAACGCTGGATCGAGAACAAATTAGTTCCAGTCAGAGAAAGAAAAAACAACGCTGGTCCGCGAACAAAATAGTTCCAGTCAGACAGAGAACAAAGAACGCTGGATATAGAACACAATAGTTCCATTCAGAAAGAGAACAAAGAAAGCTGGATCGAGAACAAAATAGTTCCATTCAGAGAGAGAGAAGAAGAAACCCTGGATCGAGAACAAAATAGTTCCAGTCAGAGAAAGAATAATGAACGCTGGATTGAGAACAAAATAGTTCTATTCAGAGAGAGAACAAAGAACGCTGGATCGAGAAGAAAAAAGTTCCAGTCAGAGAGAGAACAAAGAACGCTGGATAGAGAACAAAATAGTTCCAGTCAGAGAGAGAACAAAGAACGCTGGATATAGAACAAAATAGTTCCATTCAGAAAGAGAACAAAGAAAGCTGGATCGAGAACAAAATAGTTCCATTCAGAGAGAGAAGAAAGAACGCTGGATCGAGAACAAAATAGTTCCATTCAAAGAGAGAACAAAGAACGCTGGATCGAGAACAAAATAGTTCCAGTCAGAGAGAGAAGAACAAACGCTGGATCGAGAACAAAATAGTTCCAGTCAGAGAAAGAACAAAGAACGCTGGATCGAGAACAAAATAGTTCCAGTCAGAGAAAGAACAAAGAATGCTGGATCGAGAACAAAATAATTCCACTCAGAGAGAGAAGAACAAACGCTGGATCGAGAACAAAATAGTTCCAGTCAGAGAAAAAACAAAAGAACGCTGGATCGAGAACAAAATAGTTTCAGTCAGAGAAAGAACAAAGAACGCTGGATCGAGAACCAAATATTTCCAGTCAGACAGAGAACAAAGAACGAAAGAACGAACGAACACACTTTATTTTTAAGCGGTTACAAATTGGGCACGCAGGCCCGTCTGACATTCGGCACTTCTAAGCACTAATTTTTCAGAGTACCAATCAATAATGCATGTTATGTATATAATAAAGTAACATACATTATAGATTAATGCATACACACATCATGTATACACAATCTTACACACTCACACACACGTATATATACTCGTACATTCTCATACATGCACACTCATATTCAAACATACCTAATATATAAATACATACATCTACATACACACACAAACAGAAAAGACACACACATACATATATGGACATACATACACACACACACACATTCCCTACATACACACCTACACATGCATGCATGCATACACACACATACAATCACATGTACAGATACCCACAACCACACATTTACACTCACATACAAACATACATACATACATACACACACATACATGCATACATGCACACATCTATACATACACCTACATCTTTACACAAAAACATACATGCTTGCATACATAGTTAAATACACACGCATACAATCACATGTACATATACCCACAACCACACATTTACACTCACATGCGAACATACGTACATACATACACACACACATACATGCATACATACACACATCTATACATACACCTACATCTTTACACAAATACATACATGCTTGCATACATACTTAAATACACACACATACACCCACATACTTATACATCTACAAATGCATACATACATCCACAAACATGCATACATACACACAAACATGCATACATACACACACACATGCATACATACACCCACATACATGCCCACATTAATTACATACAAACACCCACAATCACACACACACTCATATACAATCACACATACTCACAACATACACACATACTTACAAACCTAAACATACATTCATATATGCACATGCATACACACACACACACACAAAACACACCCAGATAATACGTACATACTTACATACATACACACACGTAGATACTTTTATACATACATACACATCCATTTATATACCAACATAATCACACACATACATACATGAATACATTCATAAATACACAAACAGCCCCATAACTACACAGCTACATATACCTACATACATCCACATACATACATGAATACACACACATACAAAAACATACTTACACAGCTACATTTACATAGATACATTCACATACATATACAGACATACATAATACATGCACCTACATATATATATACGCAGACATAAATACATCCACACACAAATACATACATCAAAATTGTATATTTACATATATAGGCTACATCTACAGGCGTACATAATACAAACATACATACATTACCACACATACATACATACATACATACATACACAAACATGAAACACACACACCTACATACATAGACATACATTCATTCATGAACGCTGGATAGAGAACCAAATAGTTCCAGTCAGACAGAGAACAAAGAACGCTGGATAGAGAACCAAATAGTTCCAGTCAGACAGAGAACAAAGAACGCTGGATAGAGAACAAAATAGTTCCAGTCAGAGAAAGAACAAAGAACGCCTGATCAAGAATCAAATAGTTCCAGTCACAGAGAGAACAAAGAACGCTGGATCGAGAGCAAAATAGTTCCAGTCAGAGACAAAGAACAAAGAACACTCGACCGAGAACAAAATAGTTCCAGTCAGAGACAAAGAACAAAGAACGCTGCACTAGATGCAATTTATGATATCATGAGGATTGCACAGGATATAGATAAATGGAGTGAATAGACTGCCAATTTGATGGGGGAACAGACCGTGGAGGAAAAGACTGCCAATCTAATGGAGGAACAGACCGTGGAGGAATAGACTCTGAGCCTTATGAAGGAACAGACCGTGGAGGAATGTAGAATCTGACAGTGAGACGTATGTAGTAATAGACTGTGAGACGTATGTAGTAATAGACAGTGAGACGTATGTAGTAATAGACTTGAGATATGAGTAATAGACTGTGAGACGTATGTAGTAATAGACTGTGAGACGTATGTAGTAATAGACAGTGAGACATATGTAGTAATAGACAGTGAGACGTATGTAGTAATAGACTGTGAGACATATGTAGTAATAGACAGTGAGACGTATGTAGTAATAGACTGTGAGACGTATGTAGTAATAGACTGTGAGACGTATGTAGTAATAGACAGTGAGACGTATGTAGAGACGTATGTAGTAATAGACTGTGAGACGTATGTAGTAATAGACAGTGAGACGTATGTAGTAATAGACAGTGAGACATATGTAGTAATAGACAGTGAGACGTATGTAGTAATAGACAGTGAGACATATGTAGTAATAGACTGTGAGATGTATGTAGTAATAGACTGTGAGATATATGTAGTAATAGACTGTGAGACATATGTAGTAATAGACAGTGAGACGTATGTAGTAATAGACTGTGAGACGTATGTAGTAATAGACAGTGAGACATATGTAGTAATAGACTGTGAGTGAGTAGTAATAGACTGTGAGGTGAGATATGTAGTAATAGACTGTGAGACTATGTAGAATAGACTGTGAGATGTAGTAATAGACTGTGAGACGTATGTAGTAATAGACTATGTAGTAGACTGTGAGACGTATGTAGTAATAGACAGTGAGACGTATGTAGTAATAGACTGTGAGACATATGTAGTAATAGACTGTGAGACATATGTAGTAATAGAGTGTGAGACATATGTAGTAATAGACAGTGAGACGTATGTAGTAATAGACAGTGAGACATATGTAGTAATAGACTGTGAGACGTATGTAGTAATAGACAGTGAGACATATGTAGTAATAGACTGTGAGATGTATGTAGTAATAGACAGTGAGACATATGTAGTAATAGACAGTGAGACGTATGTAGTAATAGACAGTGAGACGTATGTAGTAATAGACTGTGAGACATATGTAGTAATAGACTGTGAGATGTATGTAGTAATAGACAGTGAGACGTATGTAGTAATAGACTGTGAGACATATGTAGTAATAGACAGTGAGACGTATGTAGTAATAGACTAGACATATAGTAGACTGTGAGACGTATGTAGTAATAGACAGTGAGATGTATGTAGTAATAGACAGTGAGACGTATGTAGTAATAGACTGTGAGACGTATGTAGTAATAGACTGTGAGATGTATGTAGTAATAGACTGTGAGACGTATGTAGTAATAGACTGTGAGACATATGTAGTAATAGACAGTGAGACGTATGTAGTAATAGACTGTGAGACGTATGTAGTAATAGACTGTGAGACATATGTAGTAATAGACTGTGAGACGTATGTAGTAATAGACTGTGAGATGTATGTAGTAATAGACAGTGAGATGTATGTAGTAATAGACAGTGAGACATATGTAGTAATAGACAGTGAGACATATGTAGTAATAGACTGTGAGACATATGTAGTAATAGACAGTGAGACGTGAGTATAGACATGTACGTATGTAGTAATAGACTGTGAGATGTATGTAGTAATAGACTGTGAGATGTATGTAGTAATAGACTGTGAGATGTATGTAGTAATAGACTGTGAGACATATGTAGTAATAGACAGTGAGATGTATGTAGTAATAGTAGTAATAATAGACTGTGAGACGTATGTAGTAATAGACTGAGACGTGAGAGTAATAGTAGATGTAGTAGTAATAGACAGTGAGACGTATGTAGTAATAGTGTAGTAATAGTACTGAGAGACGTATGTAGTAATAGACTAGTAGTAATAGACTGTGAGATGTATAGTAGTGAGATAGTAGTAATAGACAGTGAGATGTATGTAGTAATAGACTGTGAGACGTATGTAGTAATAGACTGTGAGATGTATGTAGTAATAGACTGTGAGATGTATGTAGTAATAGACTGTGAGATGTATGTAGTAATAGACTGTGAGATGTATGTAGTAATAGACTGTGAGATGTATGTAGTAATAGACTGTGAGACTGTATGTAGTAATAGACTGTGAGATGTATGTAGTAATAGACTGTGAGACTGTGAGATGTATGTAGTAGTATAGACTGTGAGATGTATGTAGTAATAGACTGTGAGACGTAGTAATAGACAGTGAGATAGACAGTAATAGACTGTGAGATGTATGTAGTAATAGACTGTGAGATGTATGTAGTAATAGACTGTGAGATGTATGTAGTAATAGACTGTGAGACGTATGTAGTAATAGACAGTGAGATGTATGTAGTAATAGACAGTGAGACGTATGTAGTAATAGACTGTGAGATGTATGTAGTAATAGACTGTGAGATGTATGTAGTAATAGACTGTGAGACGTATGTAGTAATAGACTGTGAGATAGTAATAGACTGTGAGATGTATGTAGTAATAGACAGTGAGACGTATGTAGTAATAGACTGTGAGATGTATAATAGATGAGATGTGAGATGTATGTAGTAATAGACTGTGAGATGTATGTAGACAGTAGACGTAGACAGTGTGAGACGTATATTTTCAAAGGTAATAGGCACGCAGGCCCGTCTGACATTCGTAAGCACTCGTTTTCAGAGTACCAATGCCTGTAGTAATAGAAGTGCAGTTATGGATATAGAATAAAATGTATAGTATATAATAGACAGTGAGACGTATGTAGTAATAGACACTCATAGACCGACATGTAGTAATACATACATACAGACATATGTAGTAATAGACAGTACATAAACGCATCTACATATATACACAAACAGAAAAGACACACACATACATATATGGACAAATATGCACACACACATTCCATAATACACACATCCACAAACATGAATACATACACACACCCACATACATGCCGACACACATGCATGCATACACACATATATAATCACCCATACAGATACTCACATACATACATACACTCATGCATACATACATACTTGCCTACATTATGTACACACATACCCACAATCACACATACACTCACGTACAGTCACACATACTTACAACATATATACATAAATACACACACATACAAACTTAAATATACATTCATATATCCACATGCATGCATACACACATACACCCACAATCACACACACACCCAGATAATACATACATATATACACACATATAGATACTTTTATACATACATACACATACATAATACATACCCACATACTTACATACATGCATACATTCATAAATACACACATCCACATACATACACAGCTATATATACTGACAAACATCCATATACATGCATGAATACCCATACACCCATATACTTACACAGCTACATTTACATAGAAACACTCTCATACATATACAGACATACATAATACATGCACTTACATACATATATGCACACATACATACATCCACATGTATACAAGGGTGCAAGGAGAAAGAAGAATAGATCACTGTCTGGGTGCAAGGAGAAAGAAAAATAGATCAATGTTTGGGTGCAGGGAGAAACAAGAATAGTTTCCCGCCTGGGTGCTTGGAAAATCAAGAATAGATCCAGCGCCTCTTAGCAAGCATGTCACAAAAGGCTACTAGTTAGGAATGTTTCCTTTGAAGTCAACATGTAACTGCCCGAGCGGCAAGGAACAGTCTGCATGTCAGTGACCCAGATCTTTAAAACGGATGTGCACGCAAATATGCAGTTCTAGAACACGACCAAAGCCTAGAAGTGACCAAGTAGCCAGAAAGTTGTACCGAACTTTACAACCGTTGAACGCCAAGAAGAAAGAGAGACAAGAAGAAGAGTCAGACAAAGACAAGAAAATCGGCTCTATGTTAACGTGGGCATGGATACAACAGAGCCAGACATCGATCTGGCTCCACACTGGGGGCTTCCGAGTGGTCATAGGAATATCTGGGTAACAGTTAGCGAAGATGATGATGATGATAATCGACGTCCTGAATAATGTGACCTGCGGTGACCAGTGCCGATACTCACTTGGCTTCACAGATAAAATAGACTGCCATGTTACAGGAGTAATCATCCCAGCTGTATTCGTTTTGTCTGTCCAATATCAAACAATCTTGTCCTGTGGACAGACAAGAACACAACCAGTCAAACAAACTTGTCCTGTGGACGGACAAGAACACAAGCAGTCAAACAATCTTGTCCTGTGGACGGACAAGAACACGGTCAGTCAAACAGTCTTGTCCTGTGGACGGACAAGAACACGGTCAGTCAAACAATCTTGTCCTGTGGACGGACAAGAACACGGTCAGTCCAACAATCTTGTCCTGTGGACGGACAAGAACACTGTCAGTCAAACAATCGTGTTCTGTGGATGGACAAGATCACGGTCAGTCAAACAAGCTTGTCCTGTGGATGGACAAGAACACGGCCAGTCAAACAATATTGTCCTGTGGACGGACAAGAACACAGCCAGTCAAACAATCTTGTCCTGTAGATAGACAAGAACACGGTCAGTCAAACAATCTTGTCCTGTGGACGGACGAGAACACAACCAGTCAAACAATCTTGTCCTGTGGATGGACAAGAACACGGCCAGTCAAACAATCTTGTCCTGTGGACGGACAAGAACACGGCCAGTCAAACAATCTTGTCCTGTGGATGGACAAGAACATGGCCAGTCAAGCAATCTTATCCTGTGGATGGGCAAGAACACGACCAGTCAAACAATCTTGTCCTGTGGACGGTCGAGGACACGGCCAGTCTAACAATCTTGTCCTGTGGACGGACAAGGACACGGTCAGTCAAACAATCTTGTCCTGTGGACGGACAAGAACACGGTAAGTCAAACAATCTTGTCTTGTGGACGGACGTTAACATGGCCAGTCAAACAATCTTGTCTTGTGGTTGGACAAGAACATGACCAGTCAAACAATCTTGTTCTGTGGACGGACGAGAACACAACCAGTCAAACAATCTTGTCCTCTGGACGGTCAAGAACACGGCTAGTCAAACAATCTTGTCTTGTGGACGCACGATAACATGGCCAGTCAAGCAATCTTATCCTGTGGACGGTCGAGGACACGGCTAGTCAAACAATCGTGTCCTGTGGACGGACGAGAACATGGCCAGTCAAACAATCGTCCTGTGGACGGTCAAGAACACGGCCAGTCAAACAATCTTGTCAGTAGTTGGTCAAGAACACGACCAGTCAAACAATCTTGTCCTGTGGACGGACGAGAACACAGCCAGTCAAACAATCGTGTCCTGTGGACGGACGAGAACATGGCCAGTCAAACAGTCTTGTCTTGTGGACGGACGATAACATGGCCAGTCAAACAATCGTCCTGTGGACGGACGAAAACACGGCCAGTCAAACAATCGTGTCCTGTAGACGGACGAGAACATGGCCAGTCAAACAATCTTGTCTTGTGGACGGACGATAACACGGCCAGTCAAACATTCTTGTCTTGTGGACGGACAAGAATATGGCCAGTCAAAAAATCTTGTCTTGTTGACGGACAAGAACATGGCCAGTCAAACAATCTTGTCCTGTGGACGGACAAGAGCACCTTCAGTCAAACAATCTTATCATGTGGACGGTCAAGAAAACGGCCAGTCAAGCAATCTTGTCCTGTGGACGGACGAGAACACGACCAGTCAAACAATCTTGTTTTGTGGATGGTCAAGAACATGGCCAGTCAAAAAATCTTGTCTTGTTGACGGACGAGAACACGGCCAGTCAAACAATCTTGTCTTGTGGACAGACAATAAGACGGCCAGTCAAACAATCTTCTCTTGTTGACGGACAAGAACACGGCCAGTCAAACAATCTTGTCCTGTGGACGGACGAGAACACGGCCAATCAAACAATCTTGTTTTGTGGACGGTCAAGAACACGGCCAGTGAAACAATCTTGTCCTCTGGACGGTCAAGAACACGACCAGTCAAACAATCTTGTCTTGTGGACGGTCAAGAACACGGCCAGTCAAACAATCTTGTCATGTGGACGGTCAAGAACACGGCCAGTCAAAAAATCTTGTCTTGTGGACGGGTAAGAAACATGGCCAGTCAAAAAATATTGTCCTGTGGACGGACGAGAACACGACCAGTGAAACAAGGTCACGACCATGAACAGACATTCATATAAAGATGTAAATCGTATCAATGTGACTGTGCAGGGAAGAGAAGTGTTCCGTCCGGTACGGCGATGTTGTCACTCCCAAGAAGTATGATGTTTCCTTGTCTATGCTGTCTACTTCTCTGGCCTGTGGCTTCTATCTCAATTTTCTTTTACCCCACAAGGACATCACACAAGCGATAAACACCCGATGACACAAAGTGCCACCATGCGGATGAGGATCACCGTGGAGAGGTTCCGGAAACCGTGTTAGCTATTAGACCATATTTATGGCCAGGCTATTATGCGGCCCCTGACAAGAGCTAGAGAAGGGCTTCAATAACAAAACATTGCATCCTTTTAAAGGATATTTATAAATAAATGCTTGTGGCTTCTTTTTTTCCCCCAGCTGCTTCCATGACTGGCAGTCAATATCTGTGATTCAACTTTTATAGAGCCATTGCTTTATACCTGGTCAATATATATATATATATATATATATATATATATATATATATATATATATATATATATATATATATATATATACGATGTGTTGGACAAGTAAGAACAGATATGTGTTCATTGCAATATATTCTTTTTTATTGTATCTTTTATGGTTATATTCCGTTAGTTTTCTTATGTCACTTTCCAATCACTGCAGATGATCAAAAGTCTAAGGCCATCGATTTATTTCATATTGTTCATCTACCATTGGTTATTACATTTGTGTGTATGTGTGTTTTTTCTTACTTGTCCTTGAACATGTCTGTATGTCTGTCTGGGTACTTGTCTGGTGTCCATGAATGTGGTGTACGACCTGTCTTACCTGAACTGTCATTAGGCTCACCGGGCACCCAGTCGACGAACGGAAAGATGTGTTTCCCGCTGCTGGACCACTCCCAGTTGCCTTCACCGAATATGTCTGTCCCTCCCAAGAATACACGGTCAGCTAGAGGTATACCAAATACACACATTTAGGTTATTTGGACAAAAAACGCACATGTGGGTTGTATCGGGGCTATATTTGGATACACGTATTCGTGTTATGAAAGCACCGTGTCATGTAAGCACCGTGTCATGTAAGCACCGTGTCATGTAAGCAATGTGATTGCATGTGGCTAGACATTTACACTACACATTAACATGAAAGTTTTGTAAAATCATAATCATTGTGGAATTAATATTGAGAGGAAGCTCATAGATGATGGCGGCAGAAGAGACCATCATGGGCAAAAGTACACTCAGGTTCACCCACATGGGACAAGTGAGGGTTTATAGTGACAGACACATGGGACCAGTGAGGGTTCATAGTGACAGACACATGGGACAAGTGATGGTTCATAGTGACAGGCACATAGGACAAGTGAGGGTTCATAGTGACAGACACATGGGACAATTAAGGGTTCATAGTGACAGACACATGGGACAATAAAGGGTTCATAGTGACAGACACATGGGACAAGTGGGGGTTCATAGTGACAGACACATAGGACAAGTGAGGGTTTATAGTGACAGACACATGGGACAATAAAGGGTTCATAGTGACAGACACATGGGACAATAAAGGGTTCATAGTGACAGACACATGAGACAAGTGAGGGTTCATAGTGACAGACACATGGGACAAGTGAGGGTTCATAGTGACAGACACATGGGACAAGTAAGGGTTCATAGTGACAGACACATGAGACAAGTGAGGGTTTATAGTGACAGACACATAGGACAAGTGAGGGTTCATAGTGACAGACACATGGGACAAGTAAGGGTTCATAGTGACAGACACATGAGACAATTAAGGGTTCATAGTGACAGACACATGGGACAAGTGAGGGTTCATAGTGACAGACACATGAGACAAGTGAGGGTTCATAGTGACAGACACATGGGACAAGTGAGGGTTCATAGTGACAGACACATGGGACAAGTAAGGGTTCATAGTGACAGACACATGAGACAAGTGAGGGTTTATAGTGACAGACACATAGGACAAGTGAGGGTTCATAGTGACAGACACATGGGACAAGTTAGGGTTCATAGTGACAGACACATGGGACAAGTGATGGTTTATAGTGACAGACACATGGGACAAGTGAGGGTTCATAATGACAGACACATAGGACAAGTGAGGGTTCATAGTTACAGACACATTGGACAAGTGAGGGTTCATAGTGACAGACACATGGGACAATAAAGGGTTCATAGTGACAGACACATGGGACAATAAAGGGTTCATAGTGACAGACACATGGGACAATAAAGGGTTCATAGTGACAGACACATGGGACAAGTGAGGGTTCATAGTGACAGATAGATGCGTCTTCGACCAGGCTGAGATATTCAGAGGAATGCTCTACAAGAAGCCGTTTGTAAGAACAATGTGATGACTGTAAATCAGCAACCATGACCAGACTACAAGCACAGTCAGTTTACTGGAGTGAGGTCAGACAGCCATACAGGAAGCAAGACAAGAAGAATAAACCAGTAGAAAACCGAGGTGATCCACCGCTACACACTGAGAGAATTGCTCAGGAGGGGATCAGAGCGCTTAAGGACTAAATTGTTTCATTTGCACTGACAATGATCTGCTGACTAACCAACTAAACAACTAAGTAATTATTTGTTGGATTAGATAAGCAACAAAAGGGAATAACTCGAGGAGAATGTGATACAATTAGCTAGAGGAAGCGAAAAACATCACAAACAAACAAAATGAACTTTTGTATTCAAGACAGGGAAAGGAAGAAGAAAAATCTAGAAGTTGCAGGATACAACGAACAAACAACAGGATAGAACAAACACTCACACGCCGACGCAGACAGACATAAACCCACACAGACACATACACGCAGATACAGGCACACATACACAAACACACACGCGAGCATGGAAACACACAGACACATACACACAGACACACACAAGGACATACGCAACACTCACACAGACACATATACACACTCAGACACGCACATAGTCACTCACGCAGACAAACATACGTACACTGTCAAACACGCAGACAAACATAGGTACACTGTCAAACACGCAGACAAACATACGTACACTGTCACACACGCAGACAAACATACGTACACTGTCAAACACGCAGACAAACATACGTACACTGTCACACACGCAGACAAACATACGTACACTGTCAAACACGCAGACAAACATACGTACACTGTCACACACGCAGACAAACATAGGTACACTGTCAAACACGCAGACAAACATACGTACACTGTCAAACACGCAGACAAACATACGTACACTGTCACACACGCAGACAAACATAGGTACACTGTCAAACACGCAGACACATAAACCGACACAGAGACACAACAGGTATCTGGAGACCAAGCAGCGGTAGGTAGAGTGTTGCACTAAAGAGACAACTGATGCTAAGTCAACAACTACAATGACCATCTCATTAAACCACTAGGCAGGTAACTCAAATCAATTCACAACTACATGTTTTATTGATCTGTTTACCAAGTATATGCTCACTACACTGAAGGCAGACGCAACACAATATAGCCAGTACCACTGTGACAGCAACAAATGACGACCCTTCAGGTGTGGGAAACTATTAGCCAACCAGTAATGCTTTTTAACTAATAAGTGACTAGCATAGGACTAAATATTAGTTTATCGATTTGATCTTAACACTGTGGGGTAAATGGAGAAACGTCGCTGTAGCTACGGAGTTTCGTGCAGACAGTAGCCAGTTTCTCATCAGCTTTCCGTACTGGTGGCAGAGTACTTATGATTTATACCGGTATGCAATGATGCTGGTTCACATCTCCCGACTTTACCTTTTAACCGATAGATATGGGAAAATACAAGATAATCAAACACTAACCGACGACCCAGCTGTCAGTACCTGTTAGTAAAAGCATGACCATTAGTAGGGAGGCATCAGTAACCACGATATTGTGTATTTGCATTTCATCTTTCGCAAAGCCGTTTCGGTTACACGCGAGTCTAAATATTGGTTTATAAAGTTGACAAGCGTTAATGTTATTTTATCTATCATAGCTGTTTTAAAACACACAATACCGCACAAAGATCGTAGACCAGGTTAAGTCTCACTGGTATTCTCCTAAGACACGAGGAAGTCAGATGATGCCAAAAGACTCAACTTTTTCTTTGCTCAAATTTATCGTTTCGATCTCGACCTCCTGCGTTGCACTTCCGGGTCAGATATTTCAGAATGTACCCTAGTGACACTTCTACAAAAAACAACAATGCAAGGAAAATATTAAATCATATACTTGTTCAAACATTGCTCCTGAGCACCGGGTTCATATACTAGAGGCAAGTAGCTGTATCTGAGTGTTGTTGTTCAAGATCCATGTTCAGTGGCTACAGTTATGTCACAAATCTTTGTCACGCCAGTAAATGAACAGTTTACTGATAAAAAAATAACACAGGGACCGATGCACCAAGACTATCAAAGTCTCTTACCACGACTCTGTCTAAAGAAAAAAACCCAAACATAAAGTTTTCGGAATTTGCCATCTGCAGTCTAGAATGTTATAATTGAAACCAGAAGTGGCACGCCATTGTTCATACCTTGTTTTGACTTAGCCAGATTCTTGAGGAATTCATTTTCTTCAAAAGTTTCAATCTCTGCCAGTTTGCCGTTGTAGACTTTACATATCGCCTGTAGGATAATGAGGCAGAATTACTATTTTATTTCTTGAAAACAGAGCACACAAATAAACTGACTGACTGACTGACTTTCTACCCCACTAGGACATTACACAAGCGATAAACACCCGATGACACCAAGTGGATGAGGATCGCCGTGGAGAGGTCCCAGAAACCGCGTTCAGACTATTGGCCATATTTATGGCCTGCCTATATTGCGGACCCTGGCAAAAGCCAGGGTGGGGCTACAAGTAAGAAAAAATTTCGTCCTAAAAAGGACGTAAGGATAATGTCAGTTGGCACAAGTAAACTGACGGGGAAGCCTTTATATATAAGTGGAACATCCACTAGCCGATTCCATGTTGAAATGTTGCGTGTCTCCAGATGTTGATATCAATGTTCTACTAGGCGGAAATTCTTATTCTCTGTCTGATGTTCGTGCCAGAATGCCAACTGTGAAAATCTGTCCAACATGAAAGGTCATATCTTGCGATGACTTGACTAGCTTGAGGTCTGGTCTGTGGAATACTAGTTGTAGGTTACCGGCGTCATGTGGCTCATTCGGGTTCGATCTCTGACCTACGAAACATGTGTGATGTCTTCATGGCCAAGTGGCTTTTTTAGTAGCCTTGTACTCTGAAGGCTGTGGGTTTCATTTATAAATCTGACCACGAGTTCGGGAACGTTGATGTCTGAGAGTTGTCTTGGCGGTGGTTACCCAAGCAGCTCTGGAGTTCATTCTTTGCGCCACGCTCCCAATGAAGATCTGAGACCTAGCCACACTGGGAATGACGGGAGAAATGGGAGGGGGGGGGGGGGGGGGCACACACGGCGCCGTGTCGGGTCAGCTCAGGAATCTGGAACTTAAAGTGTGGACTTGGTTTGTAAAGAAACATTGTACACGAAACTCACAAATGCTCCAGTGTGCTCCTGCAAACCAATATAGGAGTCTTTCAATAGTGCACAAACTCCGTATCGCCGGCGACAATCTACAGTTGTGAATATCACATCCATACATGTCCTAAGTATACTTTTGTGGGTCTCTAATATTTTTCGAAGTTTAAAAACGAAATGAAAACATTTGTCCCTCTCTGTATGAGTTTGTGTGTTGTTGTTATGTTTTTCAAGCGTGCACAAGAGACACTTTTTGTTTTTGCATTCAGAAGGTTTGGGCCCTATCCTTCCTACTCCATTGAATGAAGCCCATTGAATTCTCAGTATATGAATGTTGCCCGTGTTTGCATCAATGTTCGTGAACTGGGTGGTGTGTACACTAGTACTTAAAGTGACTGAATTAATTTTATTAGAAACATTTACTTGAGCAGCTCCCCAGACTGTGCGAGACGCGCCAAAACCGTAGCACGATTCCCCAAAATACTGCCATCCTTTTCGGCAATCCTGGCTGTTAACTGAGACAAGGAAAATGTGTAGACAACATAATCATCACTAATGTTGCAATGACTTCACTTGGTCGTTTATCATTACGCTTTGTCATTTCATACGTGATGTCAACAGTGAAAAATGTTCCTACATTATACTTATAGTGCCCTGTGAGTCTGATGTGCCCCATCATATGTGTATACAAACATACACAAACACATATATATAAAACGTATATTTCTGTGTGGGCACACTTCGTTTGAGGAAGGAAAACGAAAATGTGTGGAAATACTCCAGCACTGATGTCAGATTTTGACTAATAATTGATTGATTCATTCATTCATTAATCTGTCAATACATTGATTCATTCATTCATGTATTCATTCAAAGGTATTGTGGTGTAGGTGTTATAAAGAGCCCAAACGGTTGTATGAGTGTAAAATATGGGCAGTTAGCAGTTGGACCAAAAAGCATTATTGTCATCAGAAACGTGCTTTATGTGGAGAAAGCATGTCAACACGTACAAACACTGTACACATACAGTAGTAGCTACGACACCAGTCAACACGTACAAACTCTGTACATATACAGTAGTAGCCACGACACAAGTCAACACGTACAAACAATGTACACACATACAGAAGTAGCCACGACACAAGTCAACACGTACAAACACTGTACACACATACAGTGGTAGAAACTACATAAGTCAACACGTACAAACACTGCACGCATATAGTAGTAATCACGATACAAAGTCAACACGTACAAACACTGCACGCATATAGTAGTAATCACGATACAAAGTCAACACGTACAAACACTGCACGCATATAGTAGTAGACACGACACAAGTCAACACGTACAAACAATGTACACACATACATTAGTAGCCACGACACAAGTCAACACGTACAAACTCTGTATACACACAGTAGTAGACACGACACAAGTCAACACGTACAAACAATGTACACACATCCATTAGTAGCCACGACACAAGTCAACACGTACAAACTCTGTACACATACAGTAGTAGACACGACACAAGTCAACACGTACAAACTCTGTACATATACAGTAGTAGACACGACACAAGTCAATTTGTACAAACTCTGTACATATACAGTAGTAGACACGACACAAGTCAACACGTACAAACTCTGTACGCATACAGTAGTAGCTACGACACCAGTCAACACGTACAAACTCTGTACATATACAGTAGTAGACACGACACCAGTCAACACGTACAAACTCTGTACATATACAGTAGTAGACACGACACAAGTCAACACGTACAAATACTGTACACATACAGTAGTAGACACAACACAAGTCAACACGTACAAACTCTGTACATATACAGTAGTAGACACAAGTCAAGAGTTTCATGGTGAAAGACATCTGTAGTCTGAGGCTAAAATAGGGAAGATTAAGTATGTCAGCAAGGCGGCTGTAGGTTTATAGAACAGAGGACAACAAACTGCATTCAATGGGGGAAAGCAGCAAGACAAGACAGATTCATACGTTAAACTGACCCAGACGTACTCAGAGGGCAGGATACGTGTGGAAGGACTATAGATAAGGTCGATGCTTATGTGTAGCAGACGATAAGAAAGACATAAATGTTACATGCAATAATAAATATTATTTGTGAGGCTTTATTGGCACTAAGAAAATGCATCGAGAAATGTAGAAATGCACATACCATAGGGAACCATCGCACAAGCACCCAGCAAGGACAGCAACATTGAAACTGCAGCCATCTTTAAAGTCAAACTGTGTACGTGTATGTATATACGTGTATGTATGTTCGTGTATGTATGTACGTGTATGTATGTGCTCATTTACGATTGTAAACTAGAAGACACGTGATGAAACATACAGAGATTACTTTCAATGTTTCTCCTATCAGCAGCCAGTGTCTGTGTGGACCAACAGGTGCCTATATAGTGACACAGTTGACTGTCTCCTTATCGTGTTTTCTGTGTAGTGTCGGTTCTAGGCTAGAACTGACCATTCATTCTTTATGAAACCCGTGGCCGCAATGCTCCGACACACCATATGGTCAAATACTGTGACGTATGCGATTGAGACGAGTAATCGCACACTTGCCAAGTGTCTAGTGGATATGCTTATAAGTGTCACTCCTTCACACCAACCCAAGGTTGCCTCAGACTACAAACCATGCCGCCCACATTCTTTAGCAGGGCACATGCTGATGGTGATTATAACATAGAACATGGTAACAGCCACATAGAACATGGTAACATCCACAAAGAACATGGTAACAGCCACATAAAACATCAGTAACAACCACATAGAACATCGTTAACAGCCACATAGAACATGGTAAAAGCCACATAGATATTGGTAAAAGCCACATAGAACATGGTAACAGCCACAAAGAACATGGTAACAGCCACAAAGAACATGATAACAACCACATAGAACATCGTTAACAGCAACATAGAACATGGTAACAACCACATAGAACATGGTAACAGCCACATAGAACATGGTAACAGCCACATAGAACATGGTAACCACCACATAGAACATGGTAACAGCCACATAGAACATTGTTAACAGCCACATAGAACATGGTAACAGCCACATAGAACATGGTAACATCCACATAGAACATGGTAACAGCCATATAGAACATGGTAACAACCACATAGAACATGGTAACAGTCACATAGAACATCGTTAACAGCCACATAGAACATGGTAACAGCCACAAAGAACATAGTAACAGCCACATAGAACATGGTAACAGCCACATAGAACATGGTAACAGCCACATAGAACATCGGTAACAGCCACATAGAACATCGTTAACAGCCACATAGAACATGGTAACAGCCACATAGAACATGGTAACAGCCACATAGAACACGGTAACAGCCACATAGAACATGATAACAGCCACATCGATCATCGGTAACAGCCACATGGAACATCGTTAACAGCCACATAGAACATGGTAACCACCACATAGAACATGGTAACAGCCACATAGAACATGGTAACAGCCACATAGAACATCGTAACAACCACATAGAACATCGTTAACAGCCACATAGAACATGGTAACAGCCACATAGAACATGGTAACAGCCACATAGAACATCGTAACAACCACATAAAACATGGTAACAGCCACTAGGAACATCGTTAACAACCACATAGAACATCTAACAGCCACATAGAGCATGGTAAAAGCCACATAGAACATGATAAAAGCCACATAGAACATGGTAACATCCACATAGATCATGGTAACAGCCACATACAACATGGTAACAGCCACATAGAACATCGGTAACAGCCACATAGAACATCGTTAAAAGCCACATAGAACATGGTAACCACCACATAGAACATGGTAACAGCCACATAGAACCTGGTAACAGCCACAAAGAACATGGTAACAGCCACATAGAACATCGCTAACAGCCACATAGAACATTGTAACCACCACATAGAACATGGTAACAGCCACATAGAACATTGTTAACAGCCACATAGAACATGGTAACAGCCACTTAGAACATGGTAACAGCCACATAGAACATCGTAACAGCCACATAGAACATGGTAACAGCCACATAGAACATCGGTAACATCTCCTATCAGCAGCCAGTGTCTGTGTGGACCAACAGGTGCCTATATAGTGACACAGTTGACTGTCTCCTTATTGTGTTTTCTGTGTAGTGTCGGTTCTAGGCTAGAACTGACCATTCATTCTTTATGAAACCCGTGGCCGCAATGCTCCGACACACCATATGGTCAAATACTGTGACGTATGCGATTGAGATGAGTAATCGCACACTTGCCAAGTGTCTAGGGGATATGCTTATAAGTGTCACTCCTCCACACCAACCCAAGGTTGCCTCAGACCACAAACCATGCCGCCCACATTCTTTGGCAGGGCACATGCTGATGGTGATTATAACTGGAAAAAAGAAGAACCAACTCAACAGAGGACACCACAATAACCAGCAACATAGAACATGGTAACAGTCACATTGAACATGGTAACAGCCACATAGAACATCGTAACAACCACATAGAACATCGTTAACAGCCACATAGAACATGGTAACAGCCACATAGAACATGGTAACAGCCACATAGAACATCGTAACAACCACATAGAACATGGTAACAGCCACATAGAACATCGTAACAACCACATAAAACATGGTAACAGCCACTAGGAGCATCGTTAACAACCACATAGAACATCTAACAGCCACATAGAGCATGGTAACAGCCACATAGAACATGATAAAAGCCACATAGAACATGGTAACATCCACATAGAACATGGTAACAGCCACATACAACATGGTAACAGCCACATAGAACATCGGTAACAGCCACATAGAACATCGTTAACAGCCACATAGAACATGGTAACCACCACATAGAACATGGTAACAGCCACATAGAACCTGGTAACAGCCACAAAGAACATGGTAACAGCCACATAGAACATCGCTAACAGCCACATAGAACATTGTAACCACCACATAGAACATGGTAACAGCCACATAGAACATTGTTAACAGCCACATAGAACATGGTAACAGCCACATAGAACATGGTAACAGCCACATAGAACATCGTAACAGCCACATAGAACATGGTAACAGCCACATAGAACATCATTAACATCTCCTATCAGCAGCCAGTTAGTGTGTGGACCAACAGGTGCCTATATAGTGACACAGTTGACTGTCTCCATATCGTGTTTTCTGTGTAGTGTCGGTTCTAGGCTAGAACTGACCATTCATTCTTTATGAAACCCGTGGCCGCAATGCTCCGACACACCATATGGTCAAATACTGTGACGTATGCGATTGAGATGAGTAATCACACACTTGCCAAGTGTCTAGGGGATATGCTTATAAGTGTCACTCCTCCACACCAACCCAAGGTTGCCTCAGACCACAAACCATGCCGCCCACATTCTTTGGCAGGGTATATGCTGATGGTGATTATAACTGGAATAAAGAAGGACCATCTCAAGAGAGGACACCACAATAACCAGCCACATAGAACATGGTAACAGCCACATACAACATGGTAACATCCACATAGAACATGGTAACAGCCACAAAGAACATAGTAACAACCACATAGAACATGGTAACAGCCACATAGAACATCGGTAACAACCACATAGAACATCGTTAACAGCAACATAGAACATGGTAACAGCCACAAAGAACATGGTAACAGCCACATAGAACATGGTAACAGTCACATACAACATGGTAACAGCCACATACAACATCATAGAAACCACATATAACATTGTAACAGCCACATAGAACATCGTTAACAGCCACATAGAACATGGTAACAGCCACATAGAACATCGTTAACAACCTCATAGAACATCGTAACAGCCACATAGAGCATGGTAACAGCCACATAGAACATGGTAACAGCCACATAGAACATGGTAACAGCCACAGAGAACATCGTAACAACCACATAGAACATGGTAACAGCCACATAGAACATCGTAACAACCACATAAAACATGGTAACAGCCACTAGGAGCATCGTTAACAACCACATAGAACATCTAACAGCCACATAGAGCATGGTAACAGC